TTTAACTTCGTCAACCTGTTATAGATTTCAACTGATAGCATTAGAAGTCTATGCCTAGAAGAATTATTAAAAGAAATTATTAAGATAATTAAATAGCATGCAAATATACATCCATTAATTCCAGTTGAGAAAAACATTTTTTAGAATTCAGCTTAGATTTATTACCATTGCGTAGAAAAAATCTATCTTTTCTGCTATAATTACAAATACTGCGAATTGTGGGTGTATCTTTGGTTAAATTGGTATAACGGAAATAACTGAACAATATTCGCTCGTTTATTCTATTCTCGCGCAATGCCTTTAGCTTGAACTACTATGATTACAGAAAGCCATTGGCGAGTACTTAAATATAATTATAAATATAATTATAATAAACCTCGACTTGACTATCTTATCAATATCTTTGTTAAACAATTAATTTCAGACTTTGACCTTATGTTAGCCCAGTATAATATGAACCGCCATTTTTTATCTTGATAGCAAGCCTTTAAAAAAGACTGGAATAAGACTAATCAACAAATATTGTACCTAATATGGATGAAAGATACCATGTAGGCGTGAATAATTGGATATATTCCTGCTCAGTATATGTAAATAGTCATTATCTTCTTTGCAAGCATTTAGTTGCAAAAAAAGAAAAAAATTTTTGGTCTACCTTTAGTGAAACCACAAGATGGCATGATTATTCATTATTTTTTTCAGAAATAATAAGCCTCTAGTCATATTTCAAAAAAATAATCTGTGAAGAATATCTAATATAATCATCACAGAGACTTCTGTTCTTGAAAATTCTATAATAGAAGATAGTTGCTCTAGCAATTCGCGAAACACATCAATGATAATATAGGAAAATAAGATGAGTGAAAGGCAAGAAAAATATACTCAATATCTAATGAAGTTTGAAAAGGCATTAGAACTGTATCAAAGAGAAATAGATAATGATAATTTTATAAAAAACTTTAATCTCTTAGTTGGGCCATTCGTAAAAGCAATCGATGAATATAAAGAAGCCTTACAGGCTTATAGACAGCAAGGCACTCAAAAATTGAGTAACAAAAAGCTTGCTTTTTGGTTGTGTTAGTTAAGAATTAAAAATAATCACATATTATAACATATTACTGTTAAAGTCTTAATATTTTAAAGTAATTTGATTAACCGTACCGATCAAAAAAATTGAAAATTATTGTATCGTGGCAATAAAATAAATAAATATAATAAAAGTTTTTGCATTAAAAATTTATTATACTGTATATAGTAGTGAAATAAAACAAAAATTGTTAAAACAAAATCAAAAAATTTATTAAATTTAGTGGTTTGTGCTGATTGGCTAAATTATGACAATCATCACATAGTTCAAGTAGAATCTCATTTGTCCGCCACTTTTTTTCGCTATAGCTAGGGTACTAGCAATCTAACTCTGCCAGGAGTTTAGACACTTTTGCAGTAACATGATGTGGCATATTGTGGTATATTTAGATAAGCTTTTTTGGCTTTATGTTGTATTTTTAGTTAGAGTTCGTGGTTATAGGCCTTGAAAGATCATTTTCATATGTAAAATTACATTTCTGACATTTTTTGTTAGTGACAAAAGGCCGATTTAAACACTAGTTTTTGAGTATTTTCACTTTTTTCACTTTTTTTCTTCTTGCACACGTGTTTGTTTTGATATCAGGCTGATCCGGGATGATCAAAATTTGTGCATCCTGATTGGCCATTTCTCATGCGCTACATCATGTTACTACAAAAGTGTCTAGACTCCTGGTGGGGTTCTAGTGATCTAGAAGAACTATCTCTAGATCGCCACCAAAATTTTCATCAGTATGTGATTTTAGTATAACACAACCAATTATATTCCAAGATCAGGTGTAACGTAATATGAGCAAAAATTTTCAAAACAAACAGTCATTTTGTCAAAAATTACTTATTTCTCGAAAAACCGTGTATGAAACTACCTTTTGTGTTTTAACAAAAAAATTTTCTTAAGCGATTTTGCTATATACCAATTTAATTTCTAACCCTAATATAAGCTCTAACCAAGCATAAACGAACTTTAATTTTTTTCGATGTGGTACACCTGATTACGTGCTGGTGAAAATTTTGGTGGCGATCTAGGAGAAGATGGGGGTGGAGGGTAATAGCTATTATCAAGTTATACAATAAAAGCTTAAATTTTATTAGTTAATTAATAAATAAAGTCAAATACTACAATCAAAGATTTTTTAAATATAAGATATAAAAGACTTGGTCCAAGTAATCAGAGTTATTTGGGTTTCTAACAATAGTGTTAGGTTCAAATAAGTGTCCCTTGCTTCTACTTGGTGATTTAGTTATTTTTATTATTACTTTATTAATTATTTTTTATCACTCTTTTGTTAGAGATTACCACAGCTAGGTTTCGTAATCGAAATTGGCCAATTGAAATCACAGGTTCATGATTCAGGTACGAACACATACATACATACAATGATGTTGATCACAAACTTAATTAGGATCGATTTTAAAATATAAGGGTTATATTACTAATACTGCCTTTCTTTTACTAACATAGTCACAGAGACTAGAAAAACTATAATGATGAATGAGTTGTAATTAAAGAGTGTAGCGAGTTTAAAACAAACAATTTCAAAGGTTTTCTCAAACTCGTTGAACTTTAGAAGTTAATTACAAGTTAAATACGATTTCTTTAACTTAGAACTTCAAATTATGTTTTATTTCCGGAGAAAACCTCCACTTAAATACTAATTTTTACATATATATACAAGAATAACGTGAATTCTAATTTTTTGCTTTTTTATTTTCTTAATATTCTGATTTTTCTACTGTTCTTTGAATTACTCGAATTCCAAAATTCAAGAATTTTTAGGAATTTCAGAGATTTGTACTACATTAAACTGTAGTAATTTCAGATATAATCTATACTTTCACAATATATAGCTTAGAGTATAACTTTCTCTTTTGTTTGCAATTTTCAGTATTCTTGTGTTAATATTTTTAAAAACTTTAGGTTGTCTAATTGACAAATATATATTATATTTTATTGTGCAAAATAATAACATTTTAAATACTTTCATAATAAGTTTAATGAATAATACTGATCATTATTTTTTTCCTACTTTTAGACATATCTAAGTTACCTCTAGGTTCTATTTTGTTGATACTTTTTTTATTCACTATCAGATATAGAAGAAAACTGCTCAATTAACACAAATGGTTCCAATCGTTGTGTTTCTTGAAAAGAAGGAAGAACTGAAAAATCATCCATCATGGCAAAATTTGACAAAACTGAATGCTGTAAAGAATCTGCTAATGCTAAACTTCTTTTTTTATTTTTGTAGTATAGCTACTAATGTTTAGCTATAAAAGCAGTAGTGAGAAAATATTTGTTACACTTTGTACAAATTCTTTGTGCATGCATCTCAGCTAAGATCGAAAGACAATAGGCATTGTATACTAGAACTTTAACATAATTGTAGTATTCCAAGGTATGTATAGAGTTTAAGAAGTGACCATCTTTGCCTTTTATTATGGGTAGAAGAAAACCATTATTAATTGCTAGTAAATCCATTGCTTCTTTTGTACGTTTAAGGGAGCAATATGTAAGGTCATTACATTTGCGAATATCAAGAGAATACTGATATATTTGGCAATAATTCTCAATCCAATACCATGGAACAGACGAGTCATCTTTTTCAATTTAATTTAATTTTTTTTTAATTTTTATTTTTTTAATTATTTCTGAAAATTCTAGCCCAATAAATGGTATGCTAGGTTGATCGGTATATTTAGTAAAAACAGGCTTTCTAAATATAAAATCTTTTCTCCAAAGTTCACAAAGTTTTTCTCCTGTATAATGAAAGTTGCAGTGACTCAATTCAATGTCTTGTACCTTTTCTTGTGAATTAAGATGAGTTCCATACTTATATATAGGCAAAGTAATTCCCGCAAGTTTTCTAAGAAAGTAGCTATACTCCTTTTTACTAGATTATAGACTAACTGTCCTGGAGCATGAGTGCGTACAGTAAGATAATCAAGGTTAAAAAAGCGAAAAAGCTTACAATATTGATATATGTTTTTTAGATGCCTTAGGTTTTTGTCAGGACCACCATCTATGAGGAAAGTCCAGAGTGGCTTTATATTATTTTCATTTTGGAATGCCTTAGTGAATTAAATATTTTCTGCCAAAGCAAGAATATCAGCCATGTGAGTAGCTGATATTGAACCTATATGCCATTGAAGTTTTATAAAAATTGCCAATTGTCTATTGCACAGAGACTTATTTGCTTCATTCAGATTAATTATTAAATAAACTAATGAAACCAATTTTTGAGAATCACAAATTGAAAAATCATGGTCTGCTACTACTATGGGTTTGTGAATAGTTTGCATTGTTTGAAAATATTTACCAACCACAGAAATTCCAATGGGGACTTTGGATTTGTCGTCCCGAGATATGATAATGGTATAATCTGGAAAGGCTAATGCAAACTGTTTTGCATTTTTACCGAAACAAGACAGTAGTGTTCATCAACATGATTCTTTTTTCATCTTGTGATACACCAGCAACACCTACTAACACTGGATAGTAGTGAGCCCTTGAACTAATGCTTCTACTATTCCAAAGTAATAAGTAGGTTTTTAAGCAGTTGCGAGACAAGTATATTTGGTATCTTGCATTTAGTTCACTATATAAATGATCAATTGTTCTAACCTTAATTGCTTTACGCCTTCTTTTAGCATCGGCTTCACCAAACTCAATGCATTCATGAAGTTGTTTGTGAAGGTTCAGATACTCGAATAATGCTAGGGGATGACCGGGTGAGTCATATCTGACTACTACATTTTCTTCATTTAATTGTTTAAGTTTTTAGCCTGAGACTTACGTTGTGAGAAAGCATGCTATTTGAGTTTGTTAAGTTGATTTTTTTTATTGTTAATTTCGGTTTGTATATTATAAATTTGTAAAACAAATTGTGCTTTTAATTCTGTATTCGTTGTAATTATCACCATTTTTTTATTTCATCTAATTCCTTATTTGCATTTTGAATCAGTTTTATAATTCTTTTTTGGGCAGCTGCATTATATAGAATTTCTTCTGGAATTTCTTCCGAAGTTTCTTTCAGAATATTAGATGAATTGCTAGATGAATTCATAGACGAACTAATTTAAGGTTGTGCTTGAGTAGTTCTAACAGTTTGCATACACCTATGAATATAAATTAGCATAGTTAAGGAATCTGAGATTTTATTTTGAATATTGTTTTCATTATTTTTTAGCATTTTCTATTCATTAGATACTTCATTGCATAACTCTTCTTTATTAAGGTAAGGATTTCGGGTAGATGCCATTTTAAAATATGCATATGCATTTATATATTTTTGATATATATTGTAAGGATTTTTATATATATATGATTTGTTATACTTTGGCAGTGCCAAGAATGTTTGTATATTTGAATTCTTCGAAGACTACTAGCCAAGATAAATTGCTCTTTATATACTTTATTGATTAGTATAAAATTTATTTATAGCACTATCAATTATTTTTGTAGTAGCATTAACGACAAAATCAGATAGTTTTTTTAAAGCATACTATTAGAATAAATTAATCGAAAAAAAGGGCTTTGTTCAATAAACTTTAAAGGTAAATCCAACGAATTTTTGTAGTAATTTGGCTTGGATCACAAAAGGAGAGTATTTATTTAAAAAATTTTTTTATAATAATTTTTTTTTGTTGTTTTTTTTTTCTTGAATTTCTCATGATTTTGTTTTCATTTTTATTATATAATTTAAAGATTACTTTGAATCTTCACGTTTTTGAGCACATCCATCTATAAGGTTTTACCTTTTTAATATTACTATATTTTGTTCTGTTAGTATTTAATTGCGCAACTATGAATTTCATGACTTGACTTATTTGGTTAGTAGATTTATCTTGAATACTATGAAGAATATAGCAGAAAGTTTAATTCTTTAAATGGAACGTGCTGTTTTTAATAATTAGTCAGAGTGATCAAGAGTGATTTTTAAATAATAAAAAAACATTTAACAAATTAAATATGTTTGTTGTTTTAATTAGAGTTTTGATTCAAATTTATTTGATTTTTTAAATCTGAATTTATTTAGTGATCTTTAGCTTTGAATTTGAATTTGAATTGTTAAATCAAAATTCTAATTTATTATAATGATTAAATTATTGGTCAAATTTAATAGTATCATTATTTGTATGTATATATCTATATACGTAAGTATGTTACTACTATGACTATGATTTTACAAGCCATATAACTTTAGAGTATCAGTAGATCTATGGCTAACGATAAGCAATTCATATGCATTTATATGATAATAACTTTAGTTCCCACTATGTGAATACCAAAAGCACCTTACTATTGTTCTCAATAGAGCCAAACTCGAATTAATGTCTTCGCTTTTGTTAATCAATATGCATTTCATATCCTGAATCATATGGCTCAGATTATGTTTCAGGTGACCAGATCAAATTACCCTGCCAACTTAAAATTTGATTGGTCAAAATTTATAAATATGCTTAATAGGTTGTCAGGTGGGGGAGAGGGGGTCATTGTTATAATAAATCAAAATTATCTAATAAAAGTAGGCTTTCTTATTGTTTCTTCTATTATTATTATTGTTTCTTTTTCTATTATTTTTATTTCTTTGGTTATCATTTTGCTTTTTTCTATAGTTGACAATAAAATATCTTGGATTATTACAATAATAGCAAAGAGCTTTATCCTAGTTAGAGTTATATTGATGAAAAGAACTAGACTCTCTTTTAGCTATATAAGCAGGCTTGGGTTGTAGTTCTGGTTGTTGCTAAACTATATTAATGTCTAATTTGTCAAAATAGCTAGTAAGATTATGGATAGTATCTATTACTGACTCTTCTGGTGAGGTCATTAACCTTCCAGTTTCCTATTGTTTAGCAGTAGCAATAGCAACATTCAGAGTTTCAGAAGCTGATGCTTAAACAGAAATTGCATACTCTTCTCGCAATCCTTTAATAAAAAGTTGAATAACAAAGGGTTCAGAAAAAGCATGCTCTGGGTCTGGATTTACTTTCTTTTTCAATTTCTTAAACTGAACAATATAGGTATCTACAGTATTGTTTTCTTGTCTCAGATCAAATAATTCTTGTTACTATATAGCTTGCTTTTTAGAGGTTGTGAATTCTTTTAAAAACAGTGCTTTAAACTAGTTGCCTTTATTACCAGTATTATATCTTTCAAGTATATTATCTTCTAGTTCTTTGAGCCAGTTTTTTGCATTGTTCTGCATATAAGCCTTGGCAATTACAAGTTTTTGAGCAGCATTTAAGTTATTAGCAATAGCAGCACATTTAAATTCATTAATCCAACTAACTGGATCTTCAGTACCATCTTCTTTAAATGGCTTAATCTTGATAAAGGATTTTTTACTTTCTCCTCCAAGAGCTAGAGCTAGCCAGTTTATAGCTTTAGCAGCTTCTTGTAATCAAGCTTCAGTTATATTTCTTCTTCATCAGTATCTGAACTGTCTGATTCGTATGGAGGTATTAAATTAGTTTGTTCAGAAGGGGTGTTTTGTTTTAATATATCTTTTGATTCTGTTTGTTTAAAATTTGTTTCTTCTTGGTTATAGTAGATAGGACTAGTTGTTATTCTAAAAAGTTGTGAATAGATTGAAGAATAAGTTGAGGAATAAGTTGAGAATGAACTAGAAATTTCTAGATAAAGGCAATTGGGAGGTGGACTAAGTGTTTTAATATTAGGATAAATAGGCTGATAGTTTTAGTTAAATGAAGTTGTAGAGGTAGTGACTTCCTCTTTTGCAGTATATACTAATGCAGTTTTAGTAATAATTGGAGTTTCTGTAATTACAGAATAAGTATCGTCTTGATGTAATTCTGAAGTAGATGAAGATACAGTTTGACAAGAACTATAAGATATTAAAGTTCTATAGACCCTTTAAATAAATTTATATGAAGAAGTAGATGATAAAGAGGCTTCTTCTAGATTAACACTTTGAGTATCAGGTGGAGTCAAAGATTCTTCCTTTTTTTCTGATTGAGTAGTAGGAGTTGCAGTAGAAGTAGATACAATAACAGGTGTTTCTATTCTAATAATAGTATCAGAAGAAGATAGTGATAAAATAGGTGTAGCAGTTTCTTCTGTAGTTTGTTATTCTTCGTCTGAGTATAATAATTAAAGATAAGACTGAGCAGCAGTAGGATTGTCAATAAAAATATTGTAATGGTTGATATAGATACTTGAAGCTTTATAAAGGTTATGAAAAGAGATATGTTTTCATAAAATAAGTTGAGCAGTTAATTGAGGGTTAGATACAGTTTCTCTATATTGGCAACTAAAAATAATATTTCGAATAGCTAAATGGGCTTTAGCTCAATTAATAGTAACTAGCTAATAAAAACTAGAGCAGGTAACTTAACTATAGATAGTAGCATTATAGGCTTGAGAATACTAGTCCTAAAATTCTCTAAAACATCTACGAAAAGTAAGTATAATAGGATAGCACTGAGTACAGATTAAATTAGATGCAATAGTTTGAAAAACAGTAATAGCAAGAGAAGAGCTATTAAAATAGGATTGTCTATGCTTTTGAATATTTTCTAAATGATAATAAGTTAACAAATTTTTCATAAAATAAAAAAAATTTTCTGTAAAGAAGATTAGTAATAATAAATAATAAAATAATAGAGAAAAAAAAATAAATAAATCGAAGAAAGTTTGCACCTTCAAGTGGCAGAACAAAAGTTCGAATCTCACCAGCGATGAAATTTGAATTTGCGGAAATGCATTACGGTAAAACTGTATGACATGTCGATCAGGTCAGCATCTGTAACCTTGGTCTCACCAACTTGCATTGGAAGGTTGTGGAACATAGTATAATGCATGAGTTACATGAAACCTGAGTGAAGCAGCCAAATAAATCCAAGGGATTAGGGGATACAGAAGCCCGCTTGGGAAGTTCCGAGTAGAGAGGTAGCACAGATCTTCGATAGCACTATGTAAAGAATTATCATCTGAGGAACCAGACACCGAAGACAAACTAAATGAGGACCGAATATTTGGTAAGCACTACACCAACCAGGCCGCTGGATTAACTAGAGGAAAAAGGATTCATTCGGAATACCAGAGGATGCCCACTGGTCCCTCCCGGGCCATCTGGATTAGAAGTTTAGGGAGCCGACGGTTGGCATCGAAGTACTGTTGATAGTCTGTAAAGTGGGTGCTGGGGTTTGGGTGAACTTTGCAAGGGCACAGAGTA